GTTATAGCCCCGTATGTAAGCTTTTCGTCCTATCCATAAGAGAAAGCAGTCAGTAGGGCTTCCTCAGCAGAGGCTATTCGAGATGCCTGGTCGCATGGGAGCAGTTCACGAGATGCAAAGGTAGAATGACCAGCCGCTATGCGAGACACCCACCCCCGACCATAATGAGATTTTCGGAGGCTTACATTTTAGTAGGGCTGAGTGTTTCCCAAATTTTCTACATTAACATAGGTTGAGATACAGCAAAATGATTCCATAAATACATCGAACAACCTCATCAAGTTGTGGTCTTTGTTCAAATCTCTATCTATTTTCGGTTCACGTTTCATTTACTCTTGACAACCAAATTCAGCCTATGAACAAACCAAATCCTCCATTTCTTTCATATCATATGTAATTGGGTTGAAATGTTTTTAACCGGGTCATAACCTCCCCCCGGCGGGCAGTGCTGAGATGCTCAAGGTGCAATACCTGCATTTGGTTCGCAAACACATACCGTGCCGTATCGTGTATATGCTAAATAAAAAACAATCTGATTAGCTCCTCGGTGACCGAGTAGCGTGCTTGCGTTTCGGTCCGCAGTCGGGTCGATGGATTCGCACTGCACTGATGAGATCCAATCAGGTGGAAACAGCTACTGTACAGTGCTTTCATCACACAAACAGATGCGGACTCAGAAATGACAACATGGACACTCCCACCCTGACGTAGGTCAAAATCAATCGAACACTGACAGAGCGATAGACAGACTGACGGATCAACCGAGCTAACACACACATCAAAATGTCCAGGAATGGGATTCACCGCCTCAATCGGAAGTGAACTAAACATGAAATCAACTAAAATACCCATGTACGCATGTACACCTATCGACACTGGAGGTGTTGGGAGGGGAGGGGCGGCACAGACGCGTTAATTCCAACCCCGGTCAAAATGAACCAGTCATGTGGGCGGCTAAGCTTGACAAGTCGACAGATTTAAACACGCACACAAGTCGAGCTAACGGCTATATGACGATAAAGAGAAAGAAGCCCGGTGCACTACGGTGGAATTCCATTCTGGATATATTTTCACCGATTAAACTATTTCTTTATGATAACCACGTCCAATAATTGTATCGCTAGGGTTCGGGGAGGGGGCGTGAAGATAAAAAAAATTGGGATTACATCAGAGAAGTCTTGTTTCGAGCAAAGATATCGATCAGAGGGCTGTGTTTTGTTTAGAAAAGATGTAGGATCTATCCAAGAACCGACAGATCGTGTAAGAAGCATATAAAACAGAACTATACTATACTAAGACAGTTGGAGAAGATCATAAGTGAACCGAATTGATATCGGCGGAATCGTTAAACACAAATCTATGTAGTGGTCTATATACACTTAAGGCTGTGGGTGCATCGAATTACAGAGCAATGAAACGGTAGAGAAAGCTTTGAATACCTCAAAGTCACGGGGGTGGGATGTGTGCAAGTAGCGACGGAAAACAGTTTGTTCTTCATTTACACCGTTTGTTTATCGATCGATTCAAATGTTAGTTTTATTCAACCCCCTGTGCTTGCTCGGTACTGTCAACACCAAACAGTAGACAGCAGCGGCCCAGGCGAAATGAACGACAAAAGTTGTATGCGGTCGAGTTTCTGTCACGTGACGGTGCCTGGATTGATATGCTTAAATCAGTAGCCGGTTGCCTCCGACGGGAGTATTGGAATGCTATGAGTTCATGAGGAGCACCGGACAGGGGATCAGATAAAATCGATAACTAGTGGGGTGGGGGAGAACCAGAGAGGAATGGAAAAAGGGAGTGTTCAACCCCGAAATTCCACGTGAAGGGCGAAATCCGGAGACGGTGTTCAGGATAAATTCGTCCTAAGCTTAGAAATATCTATCTGCTTCACTCGTGCAGGTAATGTATGCATGTGGGCAGACTAAAAAATAAAGCGTACACGCATGACTGAACACAGAAAAACGAGGGAAACATTGGTGGTGGGAACATAACAGTAAACTGGAGATCGGTTTACGAGCTGTACACAATTCGACACGGTACATAAAAGCGGGGGGAGGTACGTCAGTTGAACATGGTTAAGAAAGTGATTGTGGCACGTGTCTCCACGCGGAATCTTTTCTTCGTCTCGGCGAAGAGACGGATCGATCACAAAGTCCTACACAATGAATTCGTTTCAAAACTATTTCTATAGAGGAACTATTGTATTCCCAACGTCTCTGAATTCAAATTGTGCCAAAGAAGTCATGGTGCGAGGGTCCTTATGACACAGAAATCGTGTTGGAAAGTGTTCTTTGAATTGATCGTTTATTTTAGTGCATCAACTGCGTTTTTATGATTGGTTCGTATAAGACTATAATTTTATAAACCGAACAATCGGACTGGTTCAATTCAATCTTATATATAAACGCCTGTGATTCCTTTCCCAGTTGTGATTTGTGTCCGGGGCACTTAAAAATATATTGAGAGCACTTCCTGAAGAACCGACTTTTGACAGAAATCAACCCTTCATTTATTTGTGGGTGCCATGACGGGTGATTGGCTTGATAATTCACAAGTGGAACCTTCAGTTGGCCACCGGATGGTGGTGGGTGAAATGCTTATGATGCACTCCATCACCCAGTCGAGCTAGTGACCATGGCATCTTGTTCGCAGGCCTCTTATTTGGATATTTTCAATCAGCAGCTTCAGCTTCCGCAGAACACATACTTGAAAATAGCGATACCGTTCAAAAAGGGTTTCAAATTTAAAAG